TGAGGATAATTCTAACGGAAGGTAGAAGATATAGAAGACTCCCTTTAGATAGCATCTGCAATTAAAACCCAATAACAAACATGGACAATTTTAATATACTTCAACTAAATTGTAGGTCATTACTAGCAAACAAAGAAAGCATAGAAAGCCTGATGTACCATAAAAATTCATATTGCTGCTCTACCGAAACTTGGCTGAAACAAGGACAAAAATTTAACTTCAAAGATTATAAAATATTTCGAAGTGACAGACAGGATGGTTATGGTGGCTCAGCCATACTGATCAGAAACAGTATTATCTGTGAGGAATTCAAACATTCTCAGAACAACCGGGATATCCAAATGACTGCTGTTATAATTAAATCGACTACCCCCTTTTGCGTGGTATCCATATATTGCTCACCTCAAGCCACAAAGGATTTATATTTAATCCGAAATCTTATTGAACAATTCCAGTTAGACTAATCGTCACCGGAGATTTCAATAGTAAACACATAGCATGGGGAAACGAAATAATAGACAGTGGAGGTGCTATAATGTACGATATTGTAGATAGTCTTAACTTAGTTGTCTTGAATGATGGAACTCATACGACTATACAGACTATTAAGAAAAAATCTTCCGCCATTGATCTATCCTTTTGCTCGACATCTATTCATGACAGGATTCATTGGAGTGTAATTCCTGAAAATGTTGGTTCTGACCATTTACCAATTATAATAAAGTTGCATTTCAAATTTAATACAAGGATGCGTTGGTATCCCGTAGAAAATGGAACACTAAACAAGCAAATTGGGAAAAATATGGATCAGAGATTGAAGATATTCTGGAGACCTCAACAATTCCTTCGAACTGCGAAGAAAAGTATAAGTTTATCCAAGATACCATAAATAAGGCGGCAGCAAAACACATTAAACAATATAAAGTATCGGATACCTTTAAACCGGCCATATGGTGGGACAATGACTGTGAGATCCAAACAAGAAGAAGAAACGAAGCCTTTAAGAAACTAAGAAATGAATTTAACTACGAAAATTACCTGAGTCTACAAAAAGTAATAGCACAAACTAAACGACTGTTTAAAACAAAGAAAAGAGAAAAATGGCGTGAGTTAATAAATTCGTTCAATATGAATACAAATATTAACAAAATTTGGAACACTATCAAAAAATTGAATAATAAAAATAATAGACAGAACCAACATCATCAAATGAACGATGACTTTTACGAGGCAATTCTTAAGACCCATACTCCCGATTTTGTTCCTGGACCTGCCCTATTTAATCAAGAACGGCCGGAAGACTGGATTGATGACAATGAACACGAAGAAATTAATGGACGCATCAAATATGAGGAACTTGAACTGGCGCTAAAGGAGAAAAAGACAGCTCTCCGGGATTCGACAACATAACATATATCATGATTAACAGAAGCCCTAAAGCATTAAAAAACCTAATAATTGAGATATTCAATTATATATTGCTTTCAAACTGGATTCCAGAAGAGTGGAAAAGAGCGGTATTAGTTCCCATACTAAAGCCACAAAAAGATCCTGGTGATTATAAGTCTTATAGACCAATAATGTTACTACCTTGCCTTTCAAAAATATTTGAAAGTATTCTAAAAAAGAGATTAGAATGGTATATAGAAAAGAATACAATATTAAATAAATATCAATTCGGTTTCAGGAGAGGAAAAGGCACGATTGATTTACTCAGCGAACTCCTTGTGGATCTATATGGCGCGTTGACAGAAAACAAATATGTTCTATTAGTTACGACAGATGTTGAAAAAGCCTATGATCATGTAGATCACCAAATACTCAAAAATAAATTAACAAAAATAAATATTCCAAACAAAATTACTAACACTATTATGTCACTTCTATCCGATAGAAAGATTTATGTTAGAAACCAGAATCGACTCATAGGTCCAAGAATAACTTTTAATGGTATCCCTCAAGGCTCGATTTTAAGTCCAATATTATTTAAACATCTATACGTCGGATTTCATAGAGACAGAAGGGACAAAAGTGAAAAAATTACAATATGCAGATGATTTAGTCATGTATATTTCTTCGCGATCATTACAGGAATGTAGTGATGAAATGAACAGCTCTTTAAGAAAAGATTTAGAATGGATGCGGGACAATAAACTCACACTTGAACCTCAAAATCTAAATGCATTCTATTCACTAGGCATAGGCTCCCAAAAATTACATCAGTATAAATATAGACTCGATTCAAATAAAATATTGGAGAACATCAAAATTTTAGGAATGATATTGGATACAAAATTATCCTTTAACAAACACGTTAATGAAATGTTGGCTAAATGTGAAAAAGGAATTAATATCCTAAAACGAGTAACTGGCACCACTTGGGGTGCACATCCCAATATCTGTCTCTCGTTTTACAAAGCCGTTATTAGACCCCATTTCGATTACGGATGTCAAATTTATGGAGGAAGTTCTAAAGGGATAATGGATAGACTAAATAGAATACAATATGCAGCGTTAAGAATATGCTTGGGAGCACTGAAGTCGACACCTACAAATTCGTTGTTGGCTGAAGCTGCAGAAGCTCCTTTAGAGATAAGAAGACAGGTTATAACTAATAGGTTTTTGATTAAAAAATTTAATTATGATCATGCATGGATACACAACTGTTTAGAGCCACTTGCAGTTCTGCATTTTGAAAATAGATTCTGGCACAAAAAACCAATACCACCTTTAATTGCTGGGTTCCATACACTTAAACCACTAGAAGAAGAAATGATGGTAAATAACAGATTAACATACTTCACTATGTCTTGGAAAGGCACGTTACCTAAAAAGTACATACATTTATCAGATGATTTTGATAATGAAAAGAAGATAGACAAGAAATTAATAAATCTGAAACTGAACAACTTAATGCATTCAAGATGGAAAAATTTTATTCAAATATATACCGACGGTTCAAAGACAGATAATGGGGTTGGATGCGCAGTTTGGATCCCAAGTCAAAACAAACAACTTCAAATTAAAATGCCCGATTGGGCTACAATATTCACGGCGGAAGTGATGGCCATTAATGGAGCATTAGACCTAATCAGGAAACATAAATTGAAAAAAGTTATAATTTTGTCAGATAGTAAATCTGCTTTACATGCTTTAAATATACCTAAATATTTTGGCAATCCACTAATTTTCGACAGTATTAGAAAGATAGAAGATTTAATTAAACAGAAGCATAATATCGAATTAATATGGATAAGAGGACATGCGAATATCATCGGAAATGAGATCGCGGATGGGCTGGCCAAAGATGCACATAGCACACCCTCGATTGTAAATAAAATTCCTGCAGTAGACCTTAAAGGAATTGTTACAAAAAATGGAATGTCTCAATGGCAAAAGGTATTCGATCAAGACTCACGTTTGAAGGAAGACTTTACCAAACCGTGTAACCCGAAGGTATCGAGAAGGACATGGTTTCAAAATATTAAATGGAATAGGAGAGAAAGACAACAATCTGTAGACTAAGGCTATCACACACAAGGAAAACAGTCATCTATTCAGAATCGGTATCAAAGAAGACCCATTTTGTGCTTGTAGTATCATATTAGACACATTGGACCACATATTTTGGAATTGCAAATTATATAAAAAAACGGGAAATTATATAAAAGACTACAACAGCTAAAAGTACAATTTCCAATAAATGCAAGACACATTATTAGTGAGAGTAATATAGGAATATATAGAGTGTTGCTGGATTCATGAATGAGTGCAATATAAAATTGTAGTGACTTATAGAAATCAAGTTAATGAAGATATGTTATTAATAATTTTCTCGTTTTTTATATATTCATACAGAAGAAATATTTTGTAATGTATAGTATTGTATTTTATAATATGTATCAATGGATATGGCTAAAATGTTTGGATTAAAACGAGGCCATTTTAATAAAAATAAAAAAAAAAAAAACTTAGTGGCTTATTTTACAGATACCATAAGATGTAATAAACAAAAAATATAAATTGTTACCATAAATTATTTATTACTTTAATGATTATCAGTCTTTCCACAACAACCTAAAAAAATCATATTTTTTCTTATAGTCTAGGAAAGAAAAACATAAAACTTTTTATTTCAAAAATAAACATAAAATACCTTAAAATTCTTAAAAACCTCATATCTTGAGATCATTGTCATGTAATTTAAGTATATATTGTATATAATTATAAAAAAATGTATATAATTACAGTAGAATCTGCTTAGTATTACATCGAAGGGACGCCGAAATCTCGTCATACTAACCGGTCGTCATTAAAAGCGTACTGAAGAAAAACTTTTTAATATGCAAATATGTTACATGTTTCAGTAATTTAAAAGAAAAGCCAATACAAACGTTTTAATTAAAAATAAAAATGACACATTAAAATTTAATATAAAATAAAATTGACATAGGGTAGGGCGGAGGCACAACGGCCCAATTTGACTTACGGTAATTATACTGTCTAAACCCAATGAACAACACATAACATACATCAAGAAGCATCTATCGAACTATGTTCAGAAAAACTTACATACATACGTACATAATTCCTAATTATATAAATATTATATTTTTTACTATTATTTATACATTTGGTATCTGACCCATTTTACTTCACATACGGGGTAAAGTGGAACAACCAGGGGGCGAACAGATGCAATTTCTTCTATTAAATTTTAAAGGCATTTTATGCTACATTATTGAACCAATGCAAAATATTAATTCTGTGGGTACATTGTAACAAAGACAACACAGTATATTACATTAATCTGCTATTGGTCAGAAATATTCATCAGAAGAGCCGGAATAACAATTTATTCAATTAATCTCTTGTAAAATTGCTTTTTTTAAACTTTACTATTTTATTGCTTACACCTTTGCCAAATTAAAGGTTCAGCTGGTCCTTTTTATCGCAGTTATGTGCCGCTTATCTTCTGATAGCAAAGTCATAAGAATAAAGGTGATGGCTGGTTATGAATTTATACATTTTTTGCCCTCTACTATCAAATATAATTGTTAAAAAAATCTAATTTTATTTGTTTATGAGACAACCGTGGTAGGCCATTAATAATTAGTCTACCCTACCCATAAACATAAAAATGTGTTTTTTTAATGTAAGTAATCAGTAATTTTTGATTGATTTCTTTACATAATTTTATTGTAAAAAGAGTCCCTGGTGCTATTGTGCACAAAAGACATAGCAATCGCAATGTAAGCGATGTCAATATATCCGATTAGACAGCTGTTTTTTTAAGGAATTTTATATGGAAACCAAATTCCTAGTGCAATTACGTCATATTAAGCGGTTGTCAATATATCCGGCGTCATACTAATCGGATTCTACTGTATATTCATTTTTTTATAATTATATGCAATATATATTTAAATTATATTACAATTACAATTACAAGTACATAATGTACCCAAAAGTGCAAACTATTAAAGTTCATGGAAAAAAATATTTGCGAAAAACTGTTTCGTCGGTTTCACAGACAATTGCGCGGGGATAGGAAGACTAAGCCTTAATACTATTCTTGTGACACATATCGCATTTTGGAGATGATGTGCAGATTGATAATCGTTACTCTGAATCAGTTATGAGTCATAAGCAAGATGAAACGACAGAGCCGAACGCGATGCATAGGATGCATGTTACGCTGCAAACTGTGCTTGACCGCCGCGGCCGTCGGGCTTACGGCGAAGCGGCGAAGTATCAGTTGTGTTCCTGCGATCTGCGAGAGGTTAAGTTGTGTGAATTGGGCCGCGGGCCGCGGCATAAGGCGCAGAGTTTGGCGAGAGGGGATGAATCGTCCGCCTGCACAAGCACAAAGCAAACGCGGGGACTCGCGCACTCGTGCACGCACACTCGCAAGTAACGCATCGGTAGTAGTAGGTACTAAGTACGTAGCACAGTGTGGTGTAGTTGAAATACGGATACACACAATCGGCTCGCGGTAAGCACTGTAAGCAGACATAGAGCGTCGTGTGCCATGCAGAAGTACAGCGACAGCCGAATACATCGCAGTCATCGTACGCCGTCAGAGGAACACATCGCGATCGCACACTCGCACACTCGCTCGTAGAGACAGACTAGTGGACCCTACCGGTGGTGGGGGAAATAACTGAAACCCGCGGCCCGAGCTTCTGGCATCTCGCTCGCCCGTAGCCGATGTCTTTCGTTTCTCTCGCTTAAACTGTTCGGCGCTCTCACATTATATAGGATATCGGAGCCATCTTGACTCGAACCTACGTCGAGCGCTGCGACACATATTTTCACGATTTTATGCGATAATTACGTAAATTAATTGCCATTTGCCATGATGTGGTCGCGAGATGCATTCGCCGGTTATGTGTAGTTTAGGTTAGAAGTGCAGTCACGTGGTGTTATCGTTTTAATAAGTTATTGACATAAATTGTATTTTTGACGTCGGTAATTCATGCAATGCCATTTGTGTTTGTGTAAGGCCAGACATCGCGCCAAAGCCAAACATACTGCAATGAATTAACTCGTCTTGACGAGAATCGGCAGACATTTTGTTCTCAATTAAATAAAATTAAGTGCCGGTACCGATCAGTATTTAAGAAAAGTGAAAAGTGTCCTCTGTCTACAGTGTAAATAAAACGATCGTAATCAATCATTATTTTTATACACGTCCAGTATCGTTAATTGTGGTGCTTTAACACAATCGATTTTTTAAATGAAAGTGTAAATCATTGTGGAGTGTCAAGTTTTGTGATGGTTATATGATTATGTTCAAATTTTGTTCAAAATGTAAATTGCGGATTCAAGTAACTGACATTGAATTCGAACGTGATTAATCACACTGCCCAAGGAATGGATAAAGAAAACGGCGACAATGATAGTGAGGGCAAAGGTTCTGGGCCCCCAGGGGTGCCGGATCCAAGTGCAATGCTAGATGCGGCTTCTTTGTTTGGGGGTAAGCGCCTTACGACTATTAATAACACAACACACACGACACACATCCGTCATCATACTACTCAAGATTGCATTGTCGTTGCAATCTTACAATTAGTTCAAGTCTTTTATACAATCCAATTCAAAATACAGTAGAACTCCAATTATCCGAATTAATGGGGACCGGGACCCATTCGGATAATCAAATATTCGGATAATCGGAGTTTTTTTTAAAAATTGCCATTGGAGAGAAAAAAAGTTACGTTTTGATATTGCACTATTTTTTTATTGAATTAAATGAAAGAAACATAACATTTTCACATGTTTTAAATATAAATAAAATGTACTTATGTACAAGTTTAGAAATAAAAATCATTGTTTTGTAAACATCTCCGTCAAATCAAAACAAACAATGTGCCTACACTGGCTTTGCTGGTGGAAGAATAATAGCGCACTTAGACTTTTTTTGGACAATTTTTTTTTCTGAAAGTGATTCGGATAATCGGCGATTCGGATGGTCGGAGTTCGGATAATTGGAGTTCGGATAATTGGAGTTCTACTGTAGCTTACGTTATTATTAGCGTTGTTATAAAGTAGTCAAATAAAATACAAACATCTTAGCACAATTGTTTGTATATGGAAGTCAGTGTGTAAATATGAATGTATTGTTTTGTTTCCTATTTATCGAATGATGTGTGACTGAAATATCAAATTTTATATATATACATGTATATATATGAGTATTAAAAGATGAAATCATCATCAGTTACCTCACGATAAATGATCATTGATGGCCGTGGTATCATGGTAACCGTTCCTAGGCTATACAAACAAAAAAGTTGGATGTTTTTATTCGAACGAAAATTATTAGAATTATGTGTGCTAGTACATATGTCATCGTTATAATATAAGCCGAACATTTTCTATTACCGACTTCAAAGAAATGTGCATTTTCACCGGCAACGTATATAACACGATTTTAATGTTTTTCTAAAAGTGTTGCTGTTAATATTTAATTGATCACATGAGATACATTTGTTTTAAGACAACTTCATTTGTTTGCTTTGTTATTGGAAATAATTTAAAATGTTTTTCGGCATCGAGGTCTTACATTATTGTGGTTCCTATTACCCAAGCCTTGTAGAGGTTTTATTTGTTTAAGGGGCGGTCTAGAATTTTCAAAAAATCGATTTAGATTTTTTCAATATTTCCAAAGTTTAACCATTCAAGAATATGTGTGTAAGAGAATTTTTTAAAATTTAAATTATTTTCGGAGATAAAGCTGTTTGAGCACGGCAGACCTCCTCTGTTTTCTTCCTTTGCGCTTCTTTACCAACAGTTTTTTTCACAATTGGACTCGACCGATTTACTTTAAATTTTCACAGAATCTTTCTTATAGATATTTCTTCAGTATAAAATACGCTTATCATCAAATTACGATTTTTTACTATTTTTAAAAAATTCCGTTTTTTTACACCTAGCACTCTCCTTCTAGAATTAAAAATTTAGGACTGTTCTTAATTTTTGATTTTTTTATATTGTAAAAATAATAATTAATTACTTGTAAA